TTCCCGTCACGACACCAGTTGAAGATCTATTGTCTGCGGTACAACGAGTAGCGAAGGAACTAGAGCAATGGATAGAGGGCTTCATTGCGTTGACACGTCAGAAGATAGCGTTGGATCTCGCGGAGGGTGATGTGGCTGCTAGCAGCCTTCATGTCGAAGATCCACCGGTTTCGGATTGCGAGGTGGTGTGTGTCGCTCTCCCGTTTTGCCTACATGTCCTTATGCGTTACTACAGGCGAATAGCAAAGTATACCAGGTATGACCCATCACACTTCAACTCGTAAGTGTATTCAACGTCACCTGTATAGCATTTGTTTTCCTTCATCACAACTCTGGAAGAGAGCCAGGATGAAAGGCGAGGCGTTTCATGGCGTCTTCGGCAGACACTAACCAATATTGCTGGTAGATTACGAGCTGTTCTGGAGAGACTGATCCGATTCATGGCATCCCTTGATGCAGTTTGGAGTCTCGTACAATGCACCCAACTCCGTGTCAGGCTATTGAAAGTGTCTACCGCTCTCGGCGTCTCGAATGATCGGCGGCTGCGTGCTGCACTCCAGAAGGATGATGCTGACCTGGCGCGGCTCTTCAAACACGTATTGAGTACAGACGTCTTGAAGAAGACTGTGCTACGACTCAAGAGCGACAGTGCACAGCGATGTGTCGATCTTATCCAAGACGTTCGCATTCACTATGTATTCGTTTGATGGTTCTGATTAAGTAGTCCAGGTGTTAGATAAAGGCTCATTTCATGGACCGGAGGAAGCAGGGTTCACACTCAAAGCCCGACGGTTGCTCGTCAAGCTTTCCGAGGCTTCGGATACTCTCCCAACCTCGCTCTTCATCACTGGGGGTGTATCCAACCTGGATAAGGAAGCAACCTTCGGAGGCTCGTTTGGGGACATCCATCGCGCTACCCTCAATGGCGCCGATGTTGCAGTCAAGCGAATACGAGTATTTCAGCGGGATTCTGGCCGACATACGATTCGACAGCGTTTCTGCAGAGAGGCCTTATTGTGGCAGCGGCTACAACATCCATACGTACTACCATTCACGGGCATTGATGCTGAAAGTTTCCCATCATTCTTATGTAGCTCATCTCGTCTCATCTCTGTATTCTGCTCATGCTTCCACCAGGTATGGTATCTCCCTGGATGCGACATGGGACGATACTGAAGCATCTCGCCGAGAATGGGAATGCCAATGTAAATCGAAGGGTGAGTCTCTGTGTCCGTGAAGCCGTCAGTGCAACTATAAATATGTTTTTTCCACAGCTGTTTGAGATTGCGCAGGGCTTGGCGTATCTCCATTCACAGGACATAATCCATGGCGACCTGAGAGGTTCCAATATTCTCGTAGACGATGAATGGCATGCACGCCTTGCGGACTTCGGACTTGCTGTATTCTCTGATGCTACAGCGGCCACGCACACGTCGCACCACGGTGGATCGGTACGGTGGATGAGTCCTGAATTGCACTACCCGCAATCTTGTGGCCTTGACACATTCAAGCGGACGTTTGCTAGCGATGTATATAGTTTCGCCTTCGTTTGCATCGAGGTAGGTCCCTGCTTGCAGAAGAAGGGACGGCAATTCCTGACTGTTGTTTTAGCTTTATACAGGCAAGCCTCCATTCAGCGACATATCCCATGACGCAGCAGTCATGCTGCGTGTTATGGCGAAAGAGAGACCTTCGCGGCCCTGCGACGCAAACGGCCAGGAATTGATGTCGGAGGCGCTGTGGGAGATCGTGCAACAGTGCTGGTCGCACGATGTGGCGCAGCGACCCAGCATGGTTCAAGTCGTGGAGAGGATGCAAGACGCCGATGAGGAATTACGCAAAGTTGTGAGTTTGTTTCCTAAACTTGGATCGCGATGCATGTTGATTGGATATCTAGTCCCCTGCAATGGCGTTCCTAACTATACCACGGACACCGCCAGGTACGAAACAAACCTTCCAAATACACCGGTCGTCCAGGCGGCGTGCCAAGGGGCAAGGTCCGAATGCGAATGTGTATCAAAGTCTTTCCTTTTGATTTTCTGTATGGTATTGGATTTGGGGATATGTAAAATATGTATAATGTGTACCAGTAGGAATCACTGAATCCTGTATGGCCGCTCGGTGTAAACACACAAAGACTGAGGGGAAAAGCCGTGACGGTCAACTGTGACTTCTCTCTGACTTCGCTCTCACTATTAGTCCTCTGGGTTTCTTTCTCTTGGGATGCAGGTTTCAAAGTTCAACGCGCTTCCCCGCAGGCCCAAGTCGCCTTCAGGGCTAGTTAGCAACAATTGGCATTTCGATCTGCGATTCATCTACTTGGATCCGCCCTCCCATGTCTTATTCTTGGTTCAACCCGAAAGCGCCTACATTCATATCGAGCGTTTGCCGCTCGGAGCAGCTAATGGCATCGCGTTCTTCCCTGAAAGTGGCACTGAGGCGGCTCCAGAAATTGCCAAAGCTCTCATGCAGGCTTTTCTCGATAGTCTGGTTAACCACAAACTCGAGCGCAACCCTCCTCCACCATACGCACCATGGTCGCTTTCTACAGATGACCGCGAATTAGCCGCAGCAGTTGGGAAAGAATTCAAGCGCATCGGTGTCAGAGAGGAGCTGTGTAACATAAAGGTTTCGAACGCGCATCTCAAAGTAGCGGACCGATCTTTCACGGGAGTTTGGTTGTCCATGATTCAAAGCCTGGATATCCCTACCCGCGTCATACCGACCATGAGCCCTCCCGAAGGCATCAGTTTCTCGATCTTCAAACCCGCGCCATGGGGCGAGGACAGAGTCTCTGATGAGTTGGAGCAGGGGGTGAAATACGCACAAGTATACCACCAGGTTGGCATCGACGCCAGGCATGTCCCCAACTCGCAGGTGTCCGCCCGAATCATGGAGCAAGCACAGGCTGCAATGGAACTTTTGTCGTCCAAGAGTATCAAACAGGTGCAGAAGGAAGCAGATGCGGGCAACGATTCGGCTGCTCTTGATTATGCTGTGCGGTTGGTACTTTTCTCCTCCCTCCCTTCTGGGCTTTGCAATTCAATACCCCGCAAACAGCATTCGATGCAATCTGGGCGTTGTTCCGAACCGCTCTCTACACTACTACTATCTCATAAAGGTCATACAAAGTTCAAGTGCCTCCAAGGACCTCAAGAGCCGCGCGCATGGCCTTCTCGTTGATTGGTTCACCAGCAGTAGCACCGTCTCTTTATTCGCTCGATATATGTTTGGCGCAGCCTTTCATGCGAATCAATCCGTTATTTTGGCAGGAGACGCATCTCCTCAGGTCCTGTGGTTTGGTTATCGAATCCTGGAGCCTCAGGCAGAAAAGGTCACGGCATTGAAGGCTCTGTATAAACCGCTTTGGCTGGCGTTGGAGAAGCGTCACCAAGAGGTATCCGAGAAGCAAGAAAAGGCGGAGAAAAAGAGAGAGAAAAATTCCAATCGATACGTTTGTGCTGCCCCTGCCTGCTATATTCAGGCCAGCAAAGGGGGAGGGCTGCGAAGCTGCGAGTAACATGCTCTTTCCTACGTGATGGCGAAGCTAAGTTGGTGTTTCGAAGGTGCCGGGTCTTGCGACTTCGATGTCAAGCCTGCGTACTGCAGCAAAGAGTGCGTATAGGTCACGAAATGCTTGGTGTATACTGATCCTTTATTCAAGATGCCGTGAGTCTTGAATTTAACTCTTCGCACAAGTGACTTGATAGTCTGGCGCCTCCAACCATCAGAGAAAGTGGTGCGTACAGCTCTCTGCTGGTTATCTGCTTGGTGCATTAAACTGCAACGATCAGGATTGGAAGAACCACAAACCGTTTTGTAAACCTGGAGCATCGTGCTCCATTTTGACTAAGGTCACTATCTGCTGTTTGCTTTTCCGTATTCTATGTAGTTGATGACGCTTCACAGGAGCACGACCTCCCTGCTGTTGGGCAAGGGCAATCCGAGGAGGTCTTGACTATTCCCGTTGCTGGTCCGAATGGTCGACCTATGATGCTAAGTACATCGACGATGACGCCGGAGATGTTGAAGATGTTCCAGGCCATGAGTGTCGGCGAAACCCCCGAGGGATCGAACAAGACTTTGGACGAATTACTTTCTAAATCTAGTAAAATCAAGGTGAGCGCGAGGATGCTCGTCGGGCTCATTGTATTCATAACCGGAATAGGAAGTAGACGTCCTCGAGCATTTTTCAAGCTAGGCGTCCGTCATATATAACTCATGACTGCAATCTCAATGTACAGAGTTTGGCGTTCCTGTACCCGGTAAATTAGTATCTCGTTCATTCTCATTCCGCCTCTGAGAATGATGCCCCTGGTTTCCATGTATGTTCGTGATTTGCGCGAATTCGATGTGAGACTCTCCGAGTCTTAGGGAGAGATACAGTTATTTCAGGGCTTCCAAGGCCTAGCACTTATTTGAAATATTTTCCATTCTGCCAACATAATCTGCTCGAGGCAAGTCATTCGCTCTAAGTAGTACTCAAAGTAGGAGAGCCAACGCTTAGACTCAGCAGATCATTAAGGCCGATACTATCTGTCTCGCTTTGCCGTCTCTTGGCACTTGCGCGATTCAAGATTTGAGTGTCACGCGCACTTGATACCACCCACTATGTAGTACTTGCGTGAGCGAAACTGCTAGCCTCGCACCAACGTGCTCACTCTTTCAGAAACTACCAAAACCTGGTGACTTAATGACTCTAAATTTGGTGACACTGTCTGGGTGGTTGTTCATTGATTTTTTCGTTGACAATTTCGCAGCAATGTTCCTTGCGAACGAACTCAACGGCTCCGTATCTCATGGTCAAGCGTGAAAGTTTGTTACAGTCTTGGCTCCGGAGCAGCGAAGTAAATCTTTTCACAATCATTCCTGCGCCATTAAGCTTCTCGAAGCTGGTCTCTTCGTCACTCCCACCTGCAAACAAGCACTCTTATCATCCTATGAGCCTCAGAAGCTTGATAAGTTTGAGAGTTGAGCCGCTAAGTTGGGCCGCTCTTGTCGGTCTGATGGTCTAGTAGTATGATTCCTTGTTAGGGTTATTTCGTGCGTGAATCACGTGCCTCGAGGAGGCCCCGGGTTCAATTCCCGGTCAGACCCCTTTTTGACCCTTTTCCGAACAGTTCTAGCCCGTTTGAAGCATTGGAAGGCTCAAAAACTTCAATTTACGAAAAATCATTTTTTTCTGATTAACTGCCAAATGTCGAGCTTTCTCTGCTTCGCCTTGCTTGCTGATATGTCCCCCCGTGCGCGCGCTAACGTTCCGCGCATTTTGACCTAATTTTCATGTGGTTTGGTGCACTATAGCTCTCACAATCTTCGAATTTCTGATGGCACCTTTTTCTAGGTGATGCCGTCCAAAACAAGAATCCCCCCAATTACGGTCCCTCTCTGGTGGAAACACCATAGTCAACATTGTTCAGTGCATCCACACGTACCTTGCAACCCAAGATTCATGCGATTCGGTGCTCTGTAGCCTTCGCAATCGGCGATTTTCTGGAAGGCACCTTACGGACTATGACAGCCGGTCAGACAGCGAATCCCTCCACTTCCCTTTCATCCTGCATGTCCACCGTACATGTATTCATATCCAGGTCCTCTCAACATACATTACCGCCCAATTCCCGTGCGGATACGTGCCTTACAGCTCCCGATTACAACTCAACCGTTTCTAATCAAGGTTTGCGCGCATCTCAATTTCACTCATTGGTCTAAGACCCTGTTCTCGGTTAAAACTGAATGCTACATCACTGCGGTCCACATTCCATTTAGTCTCTACGTCTTCTATCTATTGAGGGCAAGAGCAGTACCATTGAAGCAAAACTACCAGTGAGAGATCTAGGAAATGCCAGTCCTCAGCATGGCGATTTGTTCCCCACTAGATGCTGGACGCACAACGGTGGATGCGCAGCTGGTAGATTACATGCATACTCCCAAAGGAGAACCGCAGCGTCAACTCCAATTCGGCCACTCGCCGAGATCCCGCAAGTGCGAACTTCAAGCCGTGCGCGATTTGTTGCCGGGAATGCAGCGACAGCCGCAATGCATAACACCTGAATCGAGATGGAATACATAAGCTGAACTCTGACATGTGGTTCCTTGAGTACAATAGATCTTCTGGACAACGATGAATCGTGAACCTTCAATCAAGTATCTGAATTTCAGCAACATAGAATGCATTGAAAACAAACTCTCGCCACCATCTCGGAGAGCGCGTGGTTCGTGAAAGCGGATTGAATGTCTTATAACCCTCTCGACAGCCACAAGGCACGACGGGTGATAATGTCTGAATCGAGTTGAAGCTTGAAACATACAGCTTTCATATTTACATGAGTGACCCCTCGAGGAGTTCGTAGATTTCCTATCGATAGCGTCAGCATAGCGGGTGAATCTTCACCATGGAGCTTGATACATACAACAAGACCTCACCATGATCTCGGAAACGCCGCTGGAACACGCGAAGCCTCTGGACAGCGTGAACACATCGGCTGAATCTTCAGCCTGAATTGACCCATTCGAGACGGCCATAACAAGCCCCCGAGGTCGAGGAGAGTCCCAGAGTAAGAGTTCAGCGAACGACACCCGAGTACCGTTGCCACCGCGCCCGACCAAAGCAAACCTTAGACACACGAGGTGTGCACCACATGTATGCAGAGAACCTCCGTACTCATCGTCGCGGCAAAAAATCAAGATCTTATTGCATGAAACAGTGTACATATTCCTAAACGGAGGAATATGAGGAACGTCCGTCTGCCGATGTCAATCCACTTACGTTTATGATTTCCGTACAATTATACAATACACACAAAACGACAATTAGCGAGAGCTGACTTACATTCCCCGTCCCCTGGTGGCGCCTCTACCAGCGAAACCTATGCGGAATGGACCGCCTACGGGGAGCCCAGGCAGATGAATAGGTAGGCCATGTCCACCTCGGCCCAGTCGAGCCGGGCGGCGTGGAGCTTCCTCTTGCATTTCTTCCTCTTCAGATTCTTCGTCTTCATCATCCTATAGCAGGTCAGATTTCTATATTGGCTGACCGAAGCTGAAAAGATACCTGAAGATCGATAACTAAAGCGCCTGTATCCCGGTCAAATCAAGGGGTGGAAACAAACGTTAAAAAGCTTATTTACCGGTCTGCCAGCCTGCGGCACAGGCAAGAAAACAGAATCGCTCCTTTGGTTTCTTCCGCGCATGGTCGAAACGAACCTCTGTCGGGACGTCTGCGCCACGCGGAGTACCTATGCCACGTTCGAGGGCATCTAAGCGCTGGCGTTCGGTGGCAAACGCCCCTGGCGTCCCTGGAGTCAACGTTGTGGGGTCACCCAAGCCCAATGCTCCGGCCGAGTACCCTCCCCATGTCAACAACTTGCCAGATGATGTCAGGGCGGCATTGTGCCAGTCGCCAACAAGAACTGAAATGACAGATTTATTTTGAAGAGCGGGCTCGATATGGGGATCTGAATCTTCCGTCGTATTCGTATCGCCCATAAGCACCACGGAGCTCGTGCCGGTCGAGTATGCAAAAAACTTTTCAAAATGCGCTGAAATCTGTACCCGTGATAAACGTGTTGCAGCCTGAATTCAATGGGATACACTCACATGAGTGATCTTCATCGTTTGGGGAGGCTCGATTCCAGGTGAGCCTTCAGCTGGCATGAAGGGCGACATGGCGCGCACTCGATCAAGTTCGCTGAACTTGGGGAGCTGGAAGATCATAATTGCCGTATCAGTTTGGGTATGATTAAACAACATGCTGGAGACACTTGCGTATTGCCACCTGCCACCGGCGACGGTGTTTTCATTACCGAGGCCCGAAAACTTTACAACATGGCCCTGGTTTGTTAAAGCGACAAGATGGGCGTCCAAGGCAGCTATCCTGATGATCTTGGGTTCTTCCTCGTCCTCATTCAAGTCACCGATCTCGGTCAATTTCGGCAAAGGAGGTAGTCCCGGCAATCTAGTCGGATCCGCTTCCAGATTCCAAGTCGCACAAGGAATTACACCGTCAGGAAGAGGTTTGGCGAAAAGGTCCTCGTTGTCCATAGCCGTGTTCTTAAAATTAATTCTTTCCAACATCGTTCCAGACTGCGTCCACCAGACGAATATTTCGCCTGATTTCGTCAGGACAGAGGAAAACGCCCAGCCACATTCGATCTGTATGGGCTTCGAGTCCGCGCGAAGATGGTGAGAGGAGAGAGTGAAAGGACGGCCCCAGCTTGTAAAATTCCAAACCTGGCCCCAGGGACCCAAAGCGGCAGAGTGAAATCTCCCGCAGCTGAGCGCGGCGATGTCAGTGTCTCAATCTTAGCAAGACGGAACTACTTGCCTGATTTGTTTGATCTTGGTGGGCAGTTCCAGACGCAATGGCGTGGGGGCAGGCTTGTGAGGTACCGAAAAACCGTCGCTACCGAGCGCTCCAATTTGTCCGTTTAAAGTACCTTGGGACGGTTTTAGAGCTACAAAAAGATACCTTGGCAGACTTACCCCAGACGTGGATATTGCCCTCTGAATCGAGCGCATGAAAGGACCTTGATTACGGCATAAGTAAGAACATTAGAAACCATAAAAGTACAAACGTTCCCCCGGACACGATGTTGACAATCCGAGTCCCTGGGATTCTTAGTTGGGTGGGAAACGGTACTCCGTCGTTGATAAGATTGGACTTGGGAAATTTGTTTCCGAAGCCGAGACGACCATTCGCTTTTTCGCTGGAAACGAGTGTGAATTCCAAAATGAGGGTAGTCAGTTGACCAGGACTTCTTACCCCCAGACAAACACTGGTGGGAATCACTTATCAGCGAGAAGGCGACAACGGTGTCCGTAATAATCTGACCTTTGGGGCGATACAGCCCTCTATATATAAACTTGTAATACGATCCGCTCACACGAGCTGTATCAGGTGAAAAATTCATGTCGCATTGCAGACGCCGGAGCCATAGCAACTCGTCTGCGCAGATGGCAGCAAAGAGCTGGAGTAATGCGGGGAAAGGTCAGCCATGGCGATATTTGAGTTGTTTTTGGTGCACTGTGCCTTGTTGGTCGATCCCAACCGGACAAGACTCTGGATGGGCATGATGGCCAAGAGATTGTCCAGAATGACCTCCAGCGGTATAGACTCAAGGGAGGACATGGTAGGATTCAATTTGGACTTGAAAGGGTGGTACAAAGACAAGGTGTGAAGCAGAGAGCAGACGCACAGCGCGCAGCTTGAACGGTCGATGATGTCGTCATAAGGAAGAGATGTGACGGTAAGTCACAAGTTGTCACGTCGTTATTCTTGACTTTCGAACCTCAACATCGCTCGCGTCTCCAACTGGATTTCTGGGTCCTTTTGCCTCGACTGGTGTCGTATCCTTTGGTCTCCTTCAATGCGACAACCGATTCGCACACTTTCCGGTTTCCCCACTCGTTTTACGGACACGGACGGTCATAAAACCCGAAAACAACAAAAAAATCGTAAACAGCATGTACGCTGTCCGGCTTGCGGCCGTCGCTCGGCGCACGGGTACGGGGTCGTTCCTTGGATCTTCAGACTGGCGGTGCGACCCCGAAGCAACCCCGAACCCCGTGCATCATGTCTGATTAACCTCTATCGGTGTTCGCCCTGGCCAGCGCAACTTCAACGCAGTTCGAGATCGTCTGCACTCTGTAATCATCACCTGTGCGCCCTGCATCCAATGTGACTGTTTCACAGAAGCGGAACCGTAAACTCGGGAGTATATCCATATAATTGCTCACCCCTTATCTCGATGCATTTACAAATTGTGCTGCGACTTCGTCTCGGTCTGTTCAGCAGAGACGGACAAATCCAAACTTTACAGGGCGGGCGCATGACTTGCTTGTGCAAATACATGAACAGTTGAAACCTGCCCATCTTCACAACATACCATCATCGCTCATCTTTGCCGCTGTCGCATCACTGGCGCGTGGTCTCGGGTCATTGTCACCGACATTCAATCCTTATCCAAATAATTCCTTGTTTTTCGGGCCTGGGTTCCCCTCAACGTCAACTTGAAAGAGTCCCTTGACTGCTTGTCTGATTTATCTCTCGCCACCGCATATGGAACGATATCAACCATTCAACAGCCAAGCGCCCA